TCTATCTATCTATCTATCTATCTATCTATCCCTCCAAACAGAATCGTTTTACTATAAAAAGCCCTTTTAAATGTTTCAACTTTGTTTGTTAAAAAAAAAATGCTTTCAGAGCTTCTTCATTCACTTAATTTATCTCTTTGTAAACTGACTCAAACCCCTCCCACCTGAACGGGGACTTGAACCCTGGACCAGATCAAAGTCTGGGACTCTCCATCTGAGCTGACCCCAAACACTGACTTTTAATGAGCTGCTGTCTTATTCATGTGATGAAAACCTGCTGTCTGCTGTCAGTCCACCTTAAAAGTTTCTGCATGCACCTGGTACACGTGCAGGCCGATGGTCAGGTGGACGCCTCTGCGTCTCTGGTATTTCTGCATCAGGGCCAGCACGAAGGAGCAGGACTTCTGGGTGTTGCCGGGGTCTCGGTCCACCTCGGACAGGACGAAGAGGAACTGGGGGTTCTTCCAGAACAAGCCTGGACACACAAACGTGCACCCTCAGAGCCAAAAAGTCCTAAAGTGCCTTCAGCTGACTTAAATGTTGTCATTAGATGGAAGGGATAATAATCAGTCAATAATTATCCGGAGGAATAATCATATTTAATGTTTTAAGTGGATAGAAAGTGACAAAAAATGAATAAAAATAAAGAAATGAATGCAAGAAAAATTGTTCTCCTTCATCTAAACATCCATAAAAAGCCGAACAGCTGCAGGATTTTACTATGAACTGAGTCAGATTTGCAGGAAACCTTCTGGGAATGGATTCAATTATGGGGTTGTGCAGAAATATGGCAAAAAACAAGAACCTCTGAGTCTTTTTTTCTGTTTTTAGCTATTGAAATCTTTTTATGCTGAACCAAACTGGAGTTTGAAGGCTGCTTTGTGCCTTGTCTAAATGGTGTTGTGCAACTATGGCGTCGGACTGGGGGGAAAAAAGCCCAAATTGAAGGTTAAAGCAGGCCACACCTCCACGGAGGCAGCTGGTTAAAGCGCCGCGTCTTGGGATGAAAGGCTGAACAAAGAGACTTGTCTAGACTTGGTGTGGGTGGACAGCCACTCAAAACATTGTGCAAACATTCGAAAAACCGCAGTTTCTTTTTTTTCAGGCCTGTACAGACAAAGCCCCACTGGTGGAGTATGAAGACCTAAAAGAAAACAGGCTCCAATGTAAAGATCACCAAATACAGACAGATAGACATATAGATAGATAGATAGATAGATAGATAGATAGATAGATAGATAGATAGATA